TATGGTATCATCTACCTATAGAAACGTACTGTGGCATCCATTTAAAAGCACAATTAATAGGGATAGCCACACCTATGGAACCAGCTTCTGCAGTTAATATTACAGCACACCAGCTGCGCTGCATACTCAAGAAAGACCCCAAAGTCAATGAAGTTCTCCGCTTGCGCTGAATTCCTTTTCATCCACCCCTTGAGCTGCTTAAAGCTCTTCTCGATGGGGTTGAAATCTGGTGAGTATGGCGGCAGATACTCAAGGAGTACTCCAGCACTTTGGCAAAGCACCCGTACACGCTCTGATCGATGGATGGAGGCGTTATCAAGCACGATTACTGAGGCTGGCCCTGGGTGAGGATTGCAGAACGGCAGCACTTGAAACTCTAAGAAGTCTTCTAGGATCTCAGATGTAATCGCGCCTTGAAAGATCTTATAGCTTATGTAGCCATCTATCGTCATGGCTGGCAGCAGCGACCACCGTTCTGATCGCCTGAAGCTGTGTGATAGCTCCACCGGCTCCCCGATTGGAGACCAGCCATACTTGCGGTCGCCCGTACGCTCATTGCAGGCGCTCTCGTCCAACGCAACGATCTGCTCCGCCTTATAGTGTTGCGCCATCCTGGCAAGATAGAGGCGGCGGAGTGGCTCACTCTGCTCCTTTGCCCGCTTTGTTGCAAGCTTGCGAGACCATCTCATCTTCTCTAGCTCTCGGTAAACGCTCGCAAGGCTTATCCTAACGTCGTACTCGTCGTACAAGAAGTCCCTCATCTCATCCATGTATGCGCCCGGTGAGCCATTGAGGTATGCCTGAAGGCCTTCGCGCTGAGCTTGCCGGAGTATAGATGGCCGCCCAAGTCGAACGCAGCGCGGCGGATAAGGCACGCCCCAAAACTCTAAGCTCAACCTCAGCTTTGCTACTGTGTTACGGCTCGCACCTGTAGCTCTAGAGATGGCTCGATCACTTTCGCAGGCAGCAATTCGGTCGAGGATAGCCTGGAGAACAGCGGGCTGCAAGCGGTGGCCGGTGCCTGGCATCGCGATGAGATGGGCTCGAGAAAATTGCAACACCAAAAACGCGAGTCAGTAGAGGCGATCGCAGCAAACAATGAACTTCAAATACGTTGTGGGTATTAGAAAGCGTGGCTGCATCGATTTACTAACAAATTACTATAGGAGTTGATGTTCTTGGCCACCAAGCCAACCAGATCCAGGTGGCTCAAGGTATTTCGAGAAACACCCATAGCGGGTGCAGCTGGTGTTGGCGATGCACCCGCACCGCCACTATGCACGTCCACAACACGCTTCTTAGCTTTTTTTGGGGGAGATTTTTGGTAATGAAGCTGGCCTCTTACCCATTTGGGATAATTTCAGAGTCTTTGCAGCGTCTGTGTCTTGTTTTTCCTCTTGTATTCGTGCCCTGGTTGCAGCAGCTGCCGCAGTTCACGTATCGCGCTCTGTTTTTTTCACCTCGCGCACCCTTTGCCTCTCCACCTTTGCCTCCTCCTGCTGTATTTCTTTACATATTAAAGCAGCCTCTTTAGGTTCCTTAGCCCGAGACTTTTATAGTTTTTCCACCTCCTTCTAGCGTTCCTAAAGCCTCTATCGCGCCTAAGCTTCGCGCACCTTCGTTAGACTCCAGAAAACAGCGCGACTATGAAACTCTTTGCGCTATTAAAGATGTGGTGTTCTGTCGTGCCTCATATGCTTCTTTTTAGTAGTAAGGGCGGTGCGTAAGCCTTGATTTTCGTGGTTCAGGAGCTCATTTTGGACCTGAAGTGAATGGATGGCGGACTTAAGCTGAAGTGCGTGGTTTTCACCCTTATCTTTCACTGCATCGTCATATAAACGATAGAGCTGTTTCCAGCTACTCCACTTACCCTTAGTCGAAGGGCTTAGGTCCTCATCTCCACCAAAATCATGATTGTTAAAGCGATTTAGGATTTTATCCGCATCTAAAGGATTGATGCTTGTAGCTTCAAATCACTTGATCTCGAGCTCCCGTCTAAACAAGGTGACCCAGGCCTTCCCAAATAACGGGAAAAAGTTGCCTTTTGCTATAGGGATTAGGCCTTGGCGGCGATGAAGGTAGTCCGTGAGTTCCTTAGAGTAGGTCTATCGGACGGTAAGGAGGCCAGAATTCCTGCTTAAAAAGCGCGTAATCCATGTCTTTCCCACGTCTATTTTGGCTATTGTGGACGCGAATTTCTGCACCATCTCGCGAGTAGGAGGTAGCCCTTGGATAGTGAGACCCTCTATATATATGATAAGTTCGAACTCTTCTTGTGGGCTGAGGATTCGCTGGTTGAATGCCTTGGTGGCATATGACGCCACTGACCCCTGGTGCCTCCGCGTCAACCTGCTTCGGCACACACCATACTGACACGCAATATTTGACTATGTAAAATTTTTGCTTTCACATAAGGTTTCGATTGTTGCA